CTGTGATGTAAGAAATTATCTCCAATATAACAGAAAAGCTTCATTAAAGAGGAAAACCAAAAGACAGCAAAAATAATTTTCTGGGACAAAGTTCTAACAGCATAAGTACCCTTCCTAAAACCAAGCAAAGGGAAGCCACAAACATCACCACCAAAAAAGCAATAGTGTTTTTATAGGCTGACAGCCTTAAGTGCCACTGAGAGTCATCATTCTGATTCTATGATCTCTCATACTATGCCGTGTAGTACACACGCGTTACTCCGGCCTGTTTCCTGGGACCGTCCTTCCCAGACTGAAAGGGCTAATCAGAGATAAGTCTACTCCTAAACTGGACGAGAGAAAAACGACAAGTGCTAGGAAAGAGCTCAGAACAGTGGGGCAAAGTTCTGAGAAGGGACAGCTCGCTTTACACAGGTGTAGGTCTTCATTTCTTTAAAATAAAAAATAATAATTTGCTAATTTTCAATTTTCTGTATTTTGAGAAAAACCTAGTGGTGGCTATTTCTTGATTTGGATGGTTATTTTGCTTGTTATTTTTAATTCACACATAATAATCTGGGGACAAAGTGTGATATTTTAATATATGTATATAATGTGTAATGATCAAATCAGGGTAATTAGAATATCCATCATCTCAAACATTTATCATTTCTCTGTGTTGAAAACTTTCAAAATCTACTCTTGCAGCTATTTCAAAAAAAAAAATAAATTAATATTAACTGTGGTCACCCGACAGTACCGCAGGACACTAGAACTTAATCCTGCTACCTCGCTGCAATTTTGTAGCCGTTAACCAACCGTTGGCTATGGATTTGGAGATTTTGAAAGCATTTGACCAGGAAGGAGGAAAGACACTTTTATTATCATTGCAAATTTCAAGAAAATACAAAAAGCAGAGAAATTAATCAAAATTATTAATATTTTACCAATTTTGTTTCAAATATTTCCCACCAACTTTTGGGGGAATATTTGAAGACCAATCTCTCACGTCACATATCTCCTAGAAAATATCTCAGTATGTATATACAACAAATAAGGACTGCACTGTTACTATCCCAACTAGCAAGATTAACATGCCACCAAATATGTAGTCCATATGAAAATTTCCCCACTTATCTCAAAATGATCATCTTATAGCTGGTTTTCTGGTATCAGTGTGTGGGTTCAAGGAGCCGCGCACCACTCTAGCACTTAGTCGATATGCAAACCTGCAACCCTTAGCAAATGGCAAGGAAGGAGTTACAGGACTGAGAGCAAAACCATTAGAGATGGTTTGCCAGGTAGTCCCACCACCCCCGGGGCTGTATCTCTCAAATCCCAGGATGAAAGCAGCAGTGACTTTTATAATCAATGCACTACTGATGTCTCCAGGCCAGCGATGCTGACGAGAGATGTTTCCACAGTACTGAAGATGTGAAAGTAAAACACCTGTCACCGGAAAAGGGGGCCTACTTCTTGTACCAGGCAGCAAGGCCAGCTTGATTATCCCATAGTCTTGACTCATGAAATCTCTGGCTGTGCTTAACTGATCTCAGGGCCCCTAGAACAAAATTGATGAGGAATTCCACCAAGGATTTGTATAGTAGGAACTCTCCAGGGTAGGTGAGCAGAGTCTTGACTTGAGCCACCGTGATGGTTTCTCCACCACGATGGAGAGATCAAGGCCCTTAAATCCCAGGCCCAGTGCCTCTTGCTGAAGAGGAAGCCAAGGTGACCTTCGGCTAGGTATCCTACTATTGTTAAGTCTTCTTCCTAGCCTTTCCCAAAGGGACCTTCTACCCATAACCTGGTAGCTGTGCTAACAGGTAAACCTCCCAGTGGAAAGACAGATGGCCTCAGGAAAGACTGAGCTTGGTTAGGAGCAAATAGTCTAGAAGGACCTGAAAAGAGCAAAACAGGCTGGGGGTTGCTTGCAGAAGGGGACTGAATTGAGAATATACTCAGAGCATGCGAAGATACCTGTCTCATGGGAATCCTTACTGCAGAACAGGGTGTTTAACAATGGTGATCATAGTATGTCCCACTGTGTAGATGTCAATCTTCTTTCCTAGTCACCTCCAGAGGGTTCATAAAAAGAAAAAAAAGAGAAAAAAGGCCATGGTGGCAGAAATGGATGCTGAGCCTGGGCGAGACCACAGGAAGCCCGAGCCTTCCCCTCAACAAAGCTAATGATATGGTTCCCTCAAGGAACCAGATAGCTGCTTGCGGAATGCTGATTACAGTGGGGCCTTTTCCTAACAGAGGGGTGACAGTTTGTCCTAGCTGGAAGAGCCACTTATGCTGGACTCGGATTTGTTTTCCTTAACTATCAGGCCTCTGCTGGGTTTTACTGAAGGCTGCTCTACTGTTGTGGTACCTGGTACAACACTGCTTCTGCAGAGACTTCCACAGTGAAAGGCACCTGTCACCATATCCCGTAACAGCCTAATAAAAACAAAGTTACGGAGCCAGCTTGGAGACACACCGAAGCTTGCCATGGTGCCCTGGATGGGACGCAGGCTCGGAGCCAGTGACTAATACGGTGAGGCTCACCCACGGCCAAAGAGGGGGCACAGAGACCACGGGTAAACACAGAAGTAGTTTCTTAGGATTACTTAACGATAAACTTGCAAAATGTTTGGTTCCCACTCAGAACTCTGCTCAGCTGAAGCTGAATTTAGTCCCCCAAGGGAAAAGTACTTCCTCTGGAGTTCATGGCTCCGGCCCCACTGAACTGGAACTGAGGCTGATTCTATTGGGAACTGCTGGGAAATTGAACACCCAAAGAAAAGAGCGATGCCTTCTGTGGTCACTGCTACCATCACTCCTCAGTGGACAGCTTTCAAATCAGCCCCCCTTCCTCAGCCTTTCCCCCTAAAATCACCCTGCCTCTCTACAGCAGAAATCAGAACACACTACCCTCTGGCTGGCAATGAGTCTGTGCCACATGTAGAAAGAACCACCTCAGCTCCTCCCTGTGACCTGCAGTGCCCTTTCTAGTTGCACGCTACCTCCGGGCATGCAGCGCCCTCCTCTGTCCCTTGTCCCCTGAGCTCTAGGCATGCTGGCCTCCTCAGGCAACCTCAGATGCATCATGTTCCTGCCTGTCTCTGGGTGCTGATGCTCCTTCCACTGGCCCTCTCCTTCCTGGAGCCTCTGCCTGCTGCCCCTAAGCATTTCCCACTCTCCACCCCAGCGTCACCTCTGCTGGGTGGTGGCCTTCCCCCTCCCTGGCTCCCACCAGCTCATGTTACCCATGGTCATCTTCTCCTGAGTAACCACTGGTGCCTTAGAGAATCCTGTATACAGACTTACGGGATCTGTTCAAATGCTGGAATGTCAGGTTTTTACAATGCTTATTCTCTGCGGTATCCCAGAATCTCTTACTTCTCTCCCCTTTTCCCTTCTCATTATGACAGAGTATATCACTGAAATTCATCTCAGGTTATAAACACCAAAAGGATGCTGTCACGGAACTGGGGAAGGAATGGCTGTGACTCCAGGTGCTTGCTGTGTGCCTGGGCCAGGAGGAGGGAGTGATCAGACACAGAACAGGCACATCACATCGGAACCAACGATGCTCTTGGAAACAATGCCCTCTATTCTGCTTTATCTTCCTTAATAGCATTGTCTGCCCTGTTAAATATTTAACTTACTGATCTATGATCCTCTCACTAGAATGTAAGTGATTGAAAGGGCTTCGTTTCATTCATTGCTGTCGCCTAGTGAACATGCAATAGTTAACTGGATGAATGAATGAACAGACAAATGCAGGACCTGTCCAGAATCCACTCGTGTTTCTCCTCTGAGAGAATGACTTCCCTCCATGACACCTGGAACTCCTCTGGGAGAACAACTACATTCCACTGCATTCAGCCTCAGTCGACAGGGAACCCATGCAGCTGCCTCCTTGGAGACACCCAATCCTCTTCCGTGATCCAGCACCACTAGCTGGTAGAGCCAGGAGCTAAATCCTCTACCCTGGGATTTTGATTCCTGGGTGAGGGAGAGAGGACAGGTGGCCTCCTCTGCTCCCAGTCTTCTGTTAGAGTTCTTCCTGGGGCTCCTCCCCTCCTACTTCTGGCCTGGTTCCCGGCCTCTCATCAATTCTGGGAGCACCTGATACACTCCCAATAAATCCCCCCCTTTTGCTTAAAGTAGCCAGTTAGTTTTTGCTGTTTTTCAACAAAAGAACCCTGAATTTAAAAAGAAAAAATTCAGAACAACAAAAACAAAACCAGTGTTAGAGAAAGCACGAAGTAGGCTGTTGGCCCATGTGGGTGAGATATAGGAGCTGTCCCCTCCACTCCTACCACTTGGCAACATTATTTTTATTTCTGCCTATTCAGTTAAAATCTTTGAACACATGGACATGTTACACATTGTTACAAACATAGTATATGGTTTTGGGTTGAATGATGTCCCCTCAGAAGATAATGAAGCCTTAACTCCCAGTGCCCTGAGTGTTCCCTTATTTGGAAACAGTTTCTGTAGATGATGAAGTTAAATGAGGCCTGGGGTGGACCCAAACCCAGTTAGACTGGTGTCCCTACACACACAGGAAGTCTGGGCATGAGACAGATATTCACGGGCGAGAGTGGCACAGTGAACACGAAGGTGGACTCAGGTGATGCATCCCTAAGCCACACGGCACCGGCAGCTACCAGGGATGGGAGAGGCCTACCATAGGTCCTCCCTGGCAGCCCTCAGAACTCCCAACCCTGCCAACATTCTGAGCTGAGATTTTCAGCCTGGGACCCAGTTCTTACTGGGATTGCCACCTGCAGGAACTCAGGTAAGCAGATGCCATCACAGGAACAAACTTCTCAAACTGGGAACCACCTAGGTGGCACTCAGAGCACCCGTGCTGCACAGCTGACAGTGCAGCCTCCTCCTGGAATACAGTCCCAAGCAGCACCCTGGCCCCAAGGGAGGCAGGAAGTACTAATTCCCCCAGCACCTTGGGCGAACTGGACACAATCAAACAGGTGGCTCCCGCAGCATCCGATGGGGGGACTCACTGTTGGATGCTCTCATCTGCCGCCAGCGTCCCACGCGGTCTAGCCCGATGGGGGTGCTCTGGGAAAAAGTGAAGGGCCGGAACCGGGCCGACACGGCCTTGTAGGGCGGCACCTGGTGAGCGGGCACGGGCGGCCTGACTGCTGGCTGCGGAAGAGAAGCAGAAAGCTGTAAGAGGTGCCAGGAAGTGGCAGCTCCTGCAAACGACTTGCACACACTCTCACCTTGAAGCCACTCACAGATGTGAAGTGGTTTCTCCAAACCCTGCCAAAAGCTGCAGGCTGCACCAAGGCTCAGCAGCAGTTTGTTATTCTACAGTTTTTAATAATTGTTATCAACTCTCTGGCCTCACAGCATGACACTGTCTCATTTGACAGCGACATGCCAGTAAGTAGCACTAAGCAAAAGGCAAGGCGTCTGAGAAGAGCAGAGGTAAATTTAGGAAGGGGTAGAGCTGCCACACAGATGCAGGGTCAGAGGGTTAGCCGGGTGTCTGCCCAGGAGCAGGCTCTGGAGGAACAGGACAGAGCGGAAGACCGGTCAGGGTGACAGACTGCAGTCCTCACCTGTGTGTTCAACCTGCTTCTACTCTGCCCTGCAGACCCTCCTACGGAACCTGGTACCTGCAGGCCCTTGATAAGGATTAGTGGACCTGAAGACAATTCTTGCCTAACTAAACTTAAAGTGACAGTTGAACTTTATTTAAAAGACTTGGTTTTCCACGCATTTACCCAGGTCTCTTTAGAACTGTAATGTCCTTCCAGTTTTCTAGAATAACAATCCCTATAACTAACTGTCAGTCAGAAGCCCAGTGGGTTCAAATAGTTTCTAAGCATTTTAGATCTTTCCTATAATGTGTTTCAAGTTAAACTAGATCATACTTTACTTTAGTTCAGAATTATTTCCTAGCAAGCAGAGCATCTTACAATTTTTAAAGATTTCATGGTCTTCTGTGACTCAATTTTTTTTTAATGCTAAGAATTCAAATCAATTCAATCAAATTAAATAAGACTTTCTGAGTGCTCGCTATAAGCCAGCCATTATGCTGGACTACACAGGGAGAAAATAAACATATTGTCCATTACTAACACTGGTTAGAATTTCCTGTCTAGGAGAATTTTATGGGTTACTTATAACATCAGCTAGCAGGTTTTAAAAATGAAATTGGCCATAAGTATTACTCACATACTGTTTTGTGAACATCTAACCACAGCCAGGGTATTAGCCTCACCAAGTGAGTATAAACTTCTTTAATACAAGGCCTTTAATTATAGGTTATATATCTTTAAAGCACTCACTAGGTATCTGATAAATACTTCTTGAATTACTAAAATACACTAAGGGACCAATAGTAAATGTTTAATGTATGGCCAAACCAGTTACAAAGTTGCAACTGTCAAGCAAAGAGTAAGAAGCTAGTAGAAGAAAAAAATTACGTCCTTATCTCCTAAAAGAAATACACTTCTTTATTTTCTTATCTGTACATTTTAACAACCGACAATGCTTTCTTTTTCAATAATTACTTCCTTCAGAAAGCTCTCTAAATATGTGTGGCTACCTTTCCCCTTGTTAAAATCTCAGGTTATTCAGAAATAGATAGCAAATGAGCTTCACATTATTGTCTGAGATCCCAGGAGAGAAAGATTAGTAAAAGGCACCCAGATGTCAGGTGGTTAGTCTGAATTCATGCATGTTTTGCACAAAGTCAGGAAGAAGAGGCTGTGAGTGGATGACGTCATCCTTGAGGAGAGGAGGAGGAGGAGGAGAGGCAGCATCCTGTTTAGCTCGCAGGAGAACAAAGGCCAGGAGGCTGGAGGGTGTGCGCTGGCTTTGAGAGAAGGACGCCAGATCTTACTTGGGTCAGAAGATTCTCTATTTCTGCTGTCTGGTTGTTCCCATAGAAGCTGACCCCACCTATCACGGAAATGGGGCGTCTTCTCCACGCTCCTCTGGGGCAGCCCAAGGAAGCGTTCTGGTCTGCAGGCCCATGAGCTGCCATGCTTGCCTGGGGGTCCCCGTCCACTTGGTCCTCCTCCTGGGGGTCTGTGGCAACTGAGTCTTCAGGTATAGACAAGCTGCGGCTGGCCAGCTGGCCATAGTCTGAGAACGGCCGAGGCCGTGGCCGTCTCCCAGAGCCCCATCTCCTCCTGGGGATTCTCTGTGCCTCCGTCCTTTCCTCCTCCTGGGACGAGCCTCGCCTCCCGGGTTCATCAGTGACAACCTTTTCAAAGGCGAACAGGTTAGATGAGCTCAAATATCCAAGAAGGAATTAAAAAAGAACTAGCTGTGTGTATCCCCCCTCCCAGCTCTTCCTCTGGGCTTTCTTGATGGACTTGTTTATTTAAAACAGAAAGTGAAGACAACCAAAACAAGGATTAAAACAATCAAATCTATCTTTCAGTTTAGGCTGCATTATGCTATAATTTAAATAGTAATGTTTGGCATCTAACATTAAAAAATCAGCACCCCTGTGAGTTTATAAAATGAACTTTGTAACCAGCGTAGGTGCCCCTAAAATATACGTAATAACAGCCTTGGGGACCAAAGGCCTGCCAGGAGAAGAAATGAAGGGGCAATGCTATCCCCTGCTGCTCTGAAGGATCTTTCAATAATGTACACAACTTTAAAACAGAAGGTGCTCATAGAGGATTAAATCTACTCCTATCAGGACCCAACACTCAACACCCAAGGATCCCCAGGTTCCTGCCGGCAACAGTCTATGGTGTGAAGAGTGCTGACCTGTGTGAGCTTGGGCAGGTCACAGCTAACCTTTCTGGATCTCAGAGTTCAGACTGGACAATCCCAAGGCTCAAGATTCTATGATCTTACATGGGGCAACACTTTCTAATTTTCAAGTTATTTTTTTTTCAGAGGCAACACAATGTCCTAGAAACACAGAAGCAGTTTGGATTTGGGCACACTTCTGTGCTGTGAAGGTGTCTGGACACCTAGAGCAACTGCAGGCAAGGTACTGAACTTCTGCAATTTGACTCTGCAGCTGTTCACTAGGCAATGGCAGGTCCTCGGAAGGATGAAATGCCACAATGGAAAGATAGCCCTTATCACAGGATTTAATTATCACTCCTAAAAGCTGTGCCATAGAGTGATGTCCCCGCGGTGTAAGGCTGCCTTAGGGTAGGGCTGTGAGATAGGGCTATCTCTGCAACCCCTCTTGTCTGGCTAAGCACTGGCAGTGGTTCTTCCAGCCTGTACCTTATTTAAGATAAAAACAAAAAAAAGAGCTGTCAGGCCATAGGCACTGGGACAACAATCAGAACTAGGAAAGGAAAGGCAAGGGGGCCACAGCAGGCGTCCCTGACGGTGCCACAGAGCTAGTGGTGCAGCCCCACCTGCCCCCCAAACTAGCTAGGCCTGGATAAAGCTGGATGGTGGATGGTAGTGGCCCAGGAGGACATGCATCCGGCCAGAGACTAACAGAGACCCGAGACCTGTGATGGAGGCCTCATGGCTTCCAGCCTGGTGTGTCTAATGCTCACTGTCAAGAACTGATGAGGAGCAGAGGGGATAGGAAGGGATCTACAGACACACCGTTCAAATTAGGGAACTGAGACCTAGCAAGTGAAGGGAGCTGCCCAGGGCCACAGAGTCAACTAGCAGCACAAAGATATGAACAGGTGGGCCTCTCATTTCTGTTTCAGAAGTTTTCCAGCCATGCCACCTCACCACCTCTGCTCCAAAACGCGGTTTTCCTGGCAAACTCCAGTGGCGCTGCTGTCTACCCACTCCTGCTGCCCGGGGTCCTATCATTAATTCAAGTCACCACTGAAGGGGCTGACTTGGCTGTTGTGGCATAAAAATAATTTGGAACTGAAAGCATTTCAGTTCTGTTATCTGCCTAAAAGCAGAGACTCCCAAAAGAACTCAATGTCATAAATCCCCTCTGGGACACTGCTTCAGTCAGGAAAGAGAGGAGAATCCACACCTAAACGCTGTCACAAGTATCCCCTCGTCTAGTCTCCTGAAAACCCACTTATCTTTCCTGTAAGTCATTTGTTTCCCCTCAAGTTTCCTTTTCCTTCTCCCTAGTAAGACGGTCCCTAAACCTCAAATTCTGCACTGATACCTCTTTGAGTCACACTTTTCTGTGAACTTTCTCTTTCTCTCTCTCTCACATACACACACGTACAAAATCTATCTTTCCTTTTGCTAATCTCTCTTTTATCTGTTTAATTCACAGGCCCCCAAGGGTATGAGGAAAAGTTTTCCTCCCCAACATCACCGACAAAAAGGATGAGCAAAATCGTGGCAAAATTAACATTGCTTTCTGCATTACATATGAAAGAATTATGAAGACTTTATTCAATCCAATAGCACAGGCATCTTAAGTAGACAATGAGAATAAATCCAATTATATTATCACTGTGCTAAAAAGGTTCAGAAACAAAACATTAGGAAAAATAGAAGTACAACAAAATCACAGGCAAGACGTCTAACTGCTCACAATGGCTGTATAGTTCTTTTGTTTTGCTTTTAAGGTTTTTTGGGGGGGGGGGAGGATCTTGGTTTGCTTTGTTTTTGTACTTAAACAACATGCACCCTACTTTTTCTCTGTGATGCAAAAAATGATGGCATACTCGGGGAAGTAATCAAGGCTGGGTATGGGAGGTGTGCTCAGAGCAGGCCAGTAGACAGCAGGTGACAGGGCACAGAATTCTTCCTCTAACACATCACGCCTCAGCGTCAACACCACGGAACGCACATAAAGAACCACTGTCATTCTACTTCCCACATTCACACAGTGCTACTGAAGATACAAAAGGAGAAAACACGGCCTCGGAAAGGTGCAAAATGCTCTAGGAATAGCAAATTCAGGAAACACACAATTGAAACGTCTATCCCAGCAAAATCACAAAAAGGAAGGGTGGAGAGAAAACCCCTCAGGTTTAATCTCACATTCAAATATTGATTCCTAGCCAGAAGTGAGTGAAATTTCTCGTGAAACAAATTTGAACTCTGATGGATATTCTAAAACCAAATGTTTAGGAAACTTTTATGTATTGCTAAAATGCAGAAAATTAGTTTGACTATGGTTATACTTGGATCTACAGATACACACGTGCCAACAACTTTCCCCAAGGAGCTGACACCTACCTCAGGCTGGGGCATGGGCAGGGGGTGCCCACAGACACACTGAAGCAGCAGGCAGCTGCCCACGTCCATGTCCTCTAGACTCTGGCCTACATGGCCCCGCCACAGCTCTGCCTACCGCAAGGATCAATCTGGGCTCTATCAGCTTGAACAGCCAATTCACGCCCAAGCCATAAACTTTTGTACACAGATTTTTCAGTGGAGTCCCTGCCCTTTTAACTCTTGCTTCTCCGTATATTTTTTGAGTGCTTGCTTTACTGAGTCAGTATCCCATGTTTCCTTTCTATACAAGTTTTTTTTTCACTCCACGAAAATAAAAAGCCAATAAAGACGTTGCTACCTTCAAATAGACACTTCAAAAATTGAAAAAAAAAAATACGGTGAAAGCAAATTATTAACCTGAAGAAAAAGAAAAATATTTGCATAAAATAACTTGATTTCACATCCATCCATCCAGACAAGTATATAGGATCAAAATGCAGGGTGTTGGTAGTTTATGTTTCTGAAAAAGATGTTGAAGTCCTAACCCCCGGCACCTGTGATTTTATTTGGAGTCTGATCTTTGCAGATGTCATCAAGTTAAAATAAGGTCACTCTGGATGAGGTGAGTCTTAATGCAGCGGCCAAAGAACACCAAGGCTGCCAGCCAGCAACCACTAGACTAGAGGAAGGAGGCAGAGAAAAACCTTCCCTGAGGGTCCTGGAAGGATTGGGACCTGGTGGCACCTTGATCTCAAACTTCTGGCCTCCAGAACTGTAAGAGAATAAATGTTGTTTCAAGCACCTCCCTTGTGATAACTTGTTAGGTCAACCCCTGGAAACTAAGATAGCAAGGTTAATTCAGAAGAAAATATTATAGGTAAGGAAATTAAAGATGTTTTATGAATCCTTGAAAAAATTTAAACTAAAGCAGGCAACAATGACAACTGCAACCAAAAAACAGCTGGGCATTGTGATGTGTGCCTATTGTCCCAGGTACTTGGGAGGCTGAGGCAAGAGAATCACTTAAGCCCAAGAGTTGGAGGTTGCTGTGAGCTGTGAGTGCGACATAGTGAGACCCTGTCTTAAAAAAAAAAAAAAAATTTAAACTAAAGCAAAGGTACTCTGGATAAGCCAAAGGTCTTCTGAGGATGCATATTAACACAATAAGCTCAGTTCCCTGGTTTTCTAGCATTCCACAGTTATGGATGCCATATGCAATCCACATATAATCACAGAGATGGAGTGAGCAGGGAAAACACCTTGGCAGCTGATGCCTCAGAGGACTGCAATGATGCTGCCAACTGTTACTGCCAGACCTATGCCAGGGATATGTGTTACCTTTATCTCATCTTCACAAGCACCTTATCAGGCAGGTACTATTTGCCCCATCTTACCGATTAGGACATTGGGGCTAACATAAATAAAATGACTAACAGAGCCAGAAAGGGGACAAGCCCATTACACAACCCAGTGAGTTTGGTTTCAAAACTCCAGTCTGAAGGCCAGTATGGTGGCTCATGCCTATAATCCTAGTAGTCTGGGAAGCTAAGGTGGGTGGATCACTGGAGCTCAGGAGTTTGAGACCATTCTGAGCATGAAGGAGATCCCATCTCTACTAAAAAATAGAAAAAGTAGCCAGGTGTCATGGCATGTAGTCCCAGCTACTTGGGAGGCTGAGGCAGGATTGCTTGAGCCCAAGAGTTAAAGGTTGCTGTGAGTTATGATACCACAGTACTCTAACCAGGGTGACAGAGTGAGGCTATCTCAAACAAAACAAAACAATAACAACAACAACAACAACAACCCACAAAGACAAAACAAAGGAAAAACAAACAACCCTCTGTCCTTTCCTCTCTGCAAACCTGCAACCTTGGTATATACTTTCACAAAAAGAAAAACAGAACGTTGAAGGTTTTCTTTCCCTTAGATGTCAAACCTCTTGGAAGGAGGAGGCAGGAGTAACAGTTACCAGAGGGTCTGGTAACATGTGTGCTGGAATCATATCTTTACATGCATAAAATAAAATGAGAGGATTGTAAAGGTAAGGTAATGGCTGTAACACAGTACTATGTCAGATAAGAATACACGGTATCTTGAGATGTCCGCTGGTCTCAGAGGCTCACATCTGTA